CTTAACAGCAACCCAGTAACTGGCATCGGGCGTCAAATCGATGAGCCTGAAGTCCGTTCCTGGAGAATCCACTTCTCACGGTCAACAAATGCAGTGCTTGCGAGGACATTGCCGTGTTGAATCCACCGCAGGCTGAATTCATTACCGCTCCTTCCTAAATAGCCATGAACACATTGAGCATCTGTGTAGGAGTCCATACCAAATTTCAGGTTGTAGTCCCCCTGAAGTAGATNNGATAGAATATGGCTTTAGGTATAATATAGTAAGATCCCCATATGCCCCATTATCTATCTACTTAAGGGGGATAAGGCTCAGAACTACAAGCTCCTCATCCCTATGCACATCACATCTTACTCATCCTCCAACATCCCACACACCACACGATGTGCTAACATCACGCCGCACGCAGCGAGAAGAACCTCCTGGATACCCCTAGGCAATCCCAGGAGACGTGCCATGCAGGGGCCGACAACAGGATTTCGTAGGTATACTGTGAAACAAGAAAAGGACACCATACAGGAAAATTGAAGCAATGCCTTCACCTAGCCTACTCTCAAACCTTCTCTCAAGGCTGCATGAAATCAAAGAACGCCGCTCATTCAGGGCTTAAATATCCAGCTATAACCCCTACATAATCCAATAACTCCTATATGCCTCCTTTATAGCCCTATATAACCCTTGTACAACCATTTAAAACCTTAGTTTAGGGATAAAGCTTCAAGGCTTTGGCCGCGTCTGCACACTAAAGCAGGCTTAATTCTGTAGCTTACAACAGCGCCCCCTGGCCTCATTCCTAGGCTATGTGGAGGTTCTATGGGCTATATAAGGTTTAGGGTTCAGGGTTCAGGGTAGGGGCTATAGTAAGGGTTATAGTCTCAGAAGTGGAATAGGCTCCCCCTTCAATTTCCTGAAACGTTTAAGACTTCTCCTCAAAAAAGAATCAGTTAGGTGATGATTTCTAAGGACTGTTGAGGAGGTGTTGCATAGGCCATCTAGGTAACTATGCGTGCAAGCCCTGAAGCCTCAGAGGCAAACCTACAACTTTAAGCCTTAGGCCGAAAAAACTAAGCCTAAGTCCCCAAAACCTTAACAAAAGGGACTTTCATGGGGAACCCCAAACAGGGAACCTTAACAATATAGTAGGAATATGACAGGAACGTAATTAAAATGTTTGTATTGGCCTTAAGCCCAACGAACCTAAACCTAAAACCCGAGTCCACAAAACGCGGCACAGACTGACCCGGACCTGGCCTATGCCCAAGCTAACGCGCCAGGCCGAAATTCCAGCGATGCCTACGAATAGCCTTTGCTTCTCATTACTGTGGGTAGACACAATCTTGCACTGCTTAGGGTCCCCAAAAGACTGCACGTACCAGGTTACACAGTTATCACAGCACCGCCAACCTTAGGGTTGACGGTGGAGGGTTGCAGGGGGGATATTCCCAAACATGTGAAAGTTAAAGCTGTAATGAATCGGAAAAAAGGAGCAAGAAGGTCAGCCAGCGGGAAAGCGTGGATTGAACCTCAGAAATGCAATTTCGAAGTTCCTGAAGACCTTGTGTTGGAGTCCCAAATTTAACTATTATGTGCCGTACTATGATCTATAAGCAGAAAAGGCACATAATTTCGAGAACAACCCCTTTAGGACTTTAGAAGAACCACAGATGAGCTTGACCGGCACACGATAAAGAACTGCTTTTGAATTCCGATTTCTTCTAGGGATTTGGACTCTGAACCATATGTGCCCTAATTCCACCAAGCCATCCTCGACGGAACCAGACCTCTCTTGCAACAAGACCGTAGGGTACGGCACTGCCTCTGCAGTGATTCACGCGTGGTGGTCCTACTCCCATACATAAATTTGATTTCATATTTCTTTGGGTACCTTCAACATAAACCTCTCCATTAAGCAGCATAGAACGGGAACCGTAAACCCTCAACCCTGAACCCTAAACTCCGGCGGATTCAGGCAAACCTCCATCCGAGCTGCGCAAAAGCGCACCATACCGCCCAGGAACCTGAGGAAAATCACCAGCGCGGTAGGAGGTGGGAATTCCTACGCTGTTTTGGGTTTAGGGTTCAGAGGTAGGACTGGGGTTTAGGGTTTACGGCTGGAAATCCTCAGCTTTCATGATGTTATCAGCAGCACTTTGTAGAGGTTGAAGGCAGTGTCAACTGATGAAAAAACACAGGCAATGTGGGTGCATCTATGGACTTGCAGTTGGACAGAGGCACACTAGAAGGTTCATATCCTGCAGACGATATTAAACCCCAGCTCCTACAACTGCAGTTTCCCTACAAGGGACTTGAACTTGAAATTCCCAACCTTAAAACCCAAACGGGGGCTGGCCGCTTCATGTAACCCTCAAGCCCAGAACCCCAAACTCTAAGCCCTAGACTCAAAACCCTGATTTCCAAAATTCCTAAGCCCCACCTGAAACACCAATTACCTACATTCTGAGGGTTTAGGGGCTTAGGGGTTAGTGTTTAGGGGTTCAGGGTTTAGGGTTTAGGGGTCATGGTCATTCATTCTTTAGGGGGTAGTTACTTCTAAGCTTTAGGAACTTGGGGGTTACGGCTGGGCCCTGGAGCTCATTCAAGGGAAGGTCCCCTTCACCTCACCTCGTACAGACAACATTAAGCAAGATAAGGGTTTAGGGTTAAGGGGTTTCCCCAACAAATTGGGATAGCTTTTTCATGGGTCCATAATAATTGTTGGGAATCCATATTGGGGTCCCCCTGTTTATGGATACTGCCATACTGGGGGGCCTCCAAAACAGGATGTCACTTTTTCAGAATACCTAAATCAAGGCTGTACTAAGAATTTTGGGGTATAATTATGAGGGGAAACCCCCTAAACCCTAAACCCTTCTCGGGAACACCACTGGATTTTAGGATAACCGTACAGAAACATCTCCTGGTGAAAATGCTTGGGGCAGCATGCATACCTCAATCCTCCAACCAGTTTGTTTGGCGTGCAAGTTTCATTGAAAGTTGCAAGTGGACTGAGGAACCCTAGACCCTAAACCCCTAAACCCCTAAGCCCTAAACCCCTAACCCTAACCCTAACCCCAATATCTCATGTTGAAGTCCAGGCATTGCCTCAGCGGCATGCAGTTTTTGCCAATTGCTGTTCGGCTTCCATCCTTCCCCCTTCTCTGAGGGTTGCTGTTAAGGAACTTAGTTAAGTTACTACTTCCCATATATTGGGGTATAGGTACCCATTGGGGTAATATTAGGGTATATATTGGGATTATATAGGGATATATTGGGGCTATATAGGGATAATGGAAAAGAAAATGGAAACTACTACAGTATTATACTCACTATGGTAACTTAATTGAAGTTCCTTAACAGCAACCAACCAGTTCTTGTTGGCTTTGGGTGCTTTGCGCAACATGCACATGGGCTGTGCTCGTGCGGGTCTCAGCTAAATTAATTGGCAGCATCAATCCCCCATACTCACCGCAATCACATGCCCCCCAACCACCCACACCACGCCACAACAACCCCAAACCCAACACCCTCACCACCCGCACCACACTTACCACGCCCAGCAACCCCACCAACCCTACCAACCCACCACTGCCACTGGCGGCGGCGGCAGCGGCGGAAGTGATGAATAGCAAAACAAAGGCGGCAAAGACTAATTACTTGCAGCCGGACTCACAACCAGAACTGCAAAGAGCAGGAAAACCATTACGTTTGAGGCCCAGCTGCCTAGAAAGAAGCGTTCCCTTGGACGAGTCTGTCGGTCGCACTGGGGGCATGCAGGAGGACGTCGCGGGCACGCAGACCTGAGAAGACGCACCATGCTGAAGTGGAGGTTTAGTAAGGCTTAGGCTTTATAGGACTGCTAATGCTTTATAAAACTAATGTTTTTTTTATAAAGCACTAGTAAGGCTTAGGCTTTATAGGATTGAGGGCTGAAGGTCATGGATTCAGGGCTTCAGGGATCAGGGATTCGAAAGTGAGCTGTACAGTTTGGATTCAGGAGGCTTAGTTTTTTAGGGCTCGAGGCTTTTGATGCATCGCTCAGGGTTAAGGACTCGGAGTCTGTGGCGGGCCGCATTGGACTATACTAAACAAAGTATATACACAGCATGCTACTGCACAAGACAGGGTTAGATGCTGAAGTATACACAACAATGCAGGTATTGGGTAACACAGACATGCACATTTTCTAGACGTTATAGACACACACACACACACACGCTACTACTACACAACATGTATTGGTGCGAAGCTATCAGCTATCAGCGCCAACTGCTCCGCTTCCGGAGCAGCTGCCACGTGTACTGCCGGGCACAACAACAATGCTGTATGGTATGGGAACTCAAGTTGCATAACTAAATATGGATAGGTACAGAACGTGTTCTCCTCAAATGGTAAGTTAAAATTACGCCCCTTCATAGCAACCTAGTAAACCCGTGCGGCCAGGCGGCCAGTAGATCCAGACGATTTTTCTTCATCCGAGAAGCATCAAGAGACAGCATGGCGCAGTATGCGGTGCAGTGCAGAATCCAGACGAAAAAGCATGATATGGCTGCATATTGGCAGAAAAACTGAACCTTCGCTGGGCAACGTTGCAAAAGAAATGGAACATGAGACAGGTGCTCTTTTGGCAAGTATTCATTGTTGAAGAAATGTCACTGAAGCTATGGTCCTGATTGCAGACAGGGCAGCTGCTGGGAAAACGCATGTGGCTCCAAGGAGGAACGCCACAATGTCAGTGAGGGATGTCAGGGTTATTGATACACCCACTCGTCCCATCGCTCGTCCGACGCGCTCAGGAATGTCGACAGCTTCGTCTGTTGAGTCAAAGGCATTGGTAATGACAAAAGCATCATCAATCCCAATTCCTACCAGAATGAAGGGCAAGATCTGCGCCAGGATGGTAAATGGGACTGAGAGCAACATGGCGCTGCCGAAGCCACCAACGCAGGCCACAAGTACTAGCAGCAGGTCGCAAAAGCCTCAGCTTAAGGGGGTTCTATGGAATTTGACGGGTACATATAGGGTATATAGTAGGTATGCAAGGATCCCTGGAGTCAGAGCCTATACTAGGGGCCCATGGTTTCAACCAATGACTCCTACATTTTGCCTACTTTTCCCCGCCTCATCTACTTTTTCACGTTGTTGGTGGTCCGAGTCACGCATTATTCAGGCGTTTCAAAAGGGGGTCTCGATCACGTGGGTCTGGATTAGGAGGGAGGGATTGATTTTGGGTTCCTGCTTCCCTGAGCAAATGTTTTTAATACCCGTTCCTCTTGGAGATGTTCGAATTCCTTGTAGCATTCGGTGCGTATTTCCTGAAACCCATTCCTGATTTACGATCCCGAGGCCCAAGCCGCAACCACACCACAGGAGAAATTGGGGGGGGGGGGGGGGGG